GTTCATCACATTCCTGTTGCAGAAGTAGAGAGTGCTGTTTTATCTACAAGAGACAGGCTTGAGCAATCCATTCGAAATGACCGAAAACATTTTGAGCATCTAAGCAGGCTTGAATCCCAAGGATGCATTTTATTCAAAGAATACTCATAATGGGTTAAATAAAGCAATCGGTTCTTCTCAGAACCGATTGTTTTGTCAACAACCCAACAATATCATTGTTATTGTCAAATTGCTTATATCTTCGGTTATAATAAATATGTCGGTGTGTGGTTTTCACTCTTTTGCATGATTTTTTATACTTTCTCTAAGCCGCTAAAAAATTACATGTCATTCCATTTAAAAAACTTAAGAAAATCGAAAAAGTTAGGGGTGTCAAGGTGTGGTTTAAATCAAGGTGTTAATGTAAATCAAGAGCTATACAATTGCAATTTCAGCGTTGAATTTGGTTAAGCCAATACGGAGCTATTAACAACTTTTTGAACCGTTATTTGACTTTCCCCCACCACTTTATTTGACTAGCTAGAACAATAATGCTCCCACAAGAAATACCTGAAAGTTTGTCAAGAATAGAATTATGGCATTTTCAACCTACCTTAGCCTGTCCTAAACAGCTAAAAACCGTATTCAAAATTTACTATTGCAATTTCGCCCTCTTGCGGCAATTTTGAAACCTTGCAAGTTATTTCCAGCCATTTCCCTGAGCCACTTTACTTATATATTTTTTTACTTGAAATCGATACGACTAATAGTTTGTGAGATATGGCCGACCACCTCTCTTAGTGGCCCACCCTGTACACAACGGGAGGGTGCCAGTTAAACTTTCTCTCCGGTAGTTGGTGTGGGCATCCTTTCGAATTCAAATGATTCAACCAATTTCTTACACAACAATACCTTTAAGAAGGCCGCATTTTAATATAAATTGTCTTTTTTAAAGAAAACCGCGTCAAAAAGAGGGATCTGAATCAATCTAGTCATGGGAATCAATTAAATTTCCGGTTTATAAATTTTGCCACTTTTTCTTTCACCGTTCCTGTTTGTGAAAAATATTTTCGTTTAGAACATCGAGAAGAATTCACGTACTGGCTAACATACAGGGTGTTCTATTTACAAAGAGGAACTTCGCCGTCGTAGCTTTCTGACTGATCTTGTATACTACATTGTTCTTTATGTAAATAGACTCTAAAGAACCTTTCAATTTTTGTATTAATCATTTTGTTGTACCGTTTCCATACATAAAAGCAACACTGTATAGAAAGTGTTTTGCAACCCTTAACCTCATCAGCTTTCATTGTTTTCACAAAATCACAGCAGGATCTACTTAAAATTCCATAGATTATAAGAAAATTCCGCAAGAGAATTACTCCCGAACGGGAACAAATAGTTATTGAAAATGCAAAAAACGACAAAAAACAACGAAGTGTACGAATTTCTTTACTACTAAGTACAGAAGGTAGAGACGAAGCAAGTGAAATTGAAAACTGAACTAAATTTACAACATTTTATTGATAAAGTGAATAAAAATAAAATTTAGATGTTTAATAGGATAAAAAAATTTTTATTGGTGCAAAATTTATTTTTTAAACAACTTAATACACATTCCCGACCAAAGTAGAAAGTAATTGAAAAAATATTTTCTAATCGTCACCGAGGACACTTCAGATTCAGACAATTATTCAAGCAAAAACATCGACGCGGCAACGTGGCGAATGGATTTTGTTTTGAAACCTTCCCCCGTTCCCGGCCGCCCTGCAAACAATCGACGTTTCAGTTTCAGTGCACAACCAGCGAGTTGGCCGCAGCTGCGCAATGGAAGTCCCAATTATAAAACAGCTTTCCATTCCAATGCCTCACCCATTTCCATAGCCCCAGGCGCGTTGCCATGTCGCCGGTTTTTACGAACAGTTTGTGGACTTTTCTGAACCTCCCCCCGGTTTTTGTTGCCAACTATTTTTCTGTGCCTTTAGAGGAGTGAAAAAGTGGCTGGAAAGGGAGTAGCTGCAATAAAAGGAGACGCCAACCAGGATTGATTGGTGTAAAATATCGGCAATTGGATGTCGGTTCAGACAAATGGTAGAGTATGGCAACGTGGCGGAATGGAGCAGTTTAAGTTGAAAGCACAAAGTCTCAGTCGGCAATAGTGTTTAATGTAGGCTGCGCTGCAAAATTAGCTTTCTTGGTTTGTAAAAAGTGTTTTACCGTTTGTTATTTGGTTTAATTGCGTTGTCTTCGGCCTATGCCTTCTGCTCCAGTTGGAAACGACGAAATTGCACCGCAAAACCGCTTTTATTCAATGCGAAGGATATTGATTAAAAATGGGTGTGCCCAGATGGATGGATTTTTTTCGCATTTCCAGTGGTTTTTTGGTTTTGTGCTCAGGAGACCGATAATCGATTACTTAACTAGGTTAATTAATTCAATCCCAATCGAATGGAACATCCACAGAGCTTTGCACCGCTTCTGTTTTTCCTAGCAGAATAATTAATCCATTAGATCACTTGAGCGGAAAAGCCCTGATTAATCACCCACGTGTCATTATTCTGTTATCACGTTTTCAGTTCGGTTGTTTCAAAGTTTCTATGGCCAAGACCAACTGCTACATTTCCTCAAAGCTCGAAATTGGCGTTGCCAACGCAAAAAAATTCAGTGTTTACCAATACGAACGTTTTATTCTGACGAAACGCCCATTTCTAGTACAGCGACGACCAAAACATCCATTATTCATTGGCTTCACAGTCGACCAAAGCGATTTGTGACCCGGAAATGTTTCAGCCGGGCTACCGCGCACCACTTGGCAACAGCGAGTGCGGGGGGGGACGGATACGGGCAAAAATGGGGGCTCGCACGTCACCAACGCAACGCTGCCACGGTTTCGATTAATGCAGCAGATTCGGGATTTTTTGAAAAATTTCTCGAATATCCAGTCCACTTGTCTACTGTGAAAACATCTGTGGTTTATTCAAAAATTGACCGCAAGAGCAAGTCCAAACCCAAAAATCTGCCCAGGATGGTGAAAAAACATACGTTTATGTTCTTCCATTTTGCAATAAAGCATGCTTGCATGTACGTGCCCATAAACGGTTTTAATCTAGAAGGCAAATCAACGAGTATGATGGATGAATTAAATCTGATGCAAATTTTCTAGCATTTACACAACAAGAATTCTCCATTAAACTCCACTATAAATTACAAGTTTTGTTCACTGACGGGGCAATTGGATTTTTTGCCTTTGGTTTGGTCAGCTAATTAATTGCGTCAGTTTTTCAATGGTTTTTCACTTAAACCCCGTGCCGTTATCTTGCACAAAAGCAGCTAAACAATAACGTTAATTGCCATGATTCACAATGTTGAATGTTGAAAGCCGATAATTTCGCGATTTATATATATATGTGTGCTTAAGCCATCAGCAATATGTAGATCTTCATAGCGGTAAATCAAGAACAAAAAGACAAACTACACAGTTTGTACCGGCATGTGACCGACCATATGCAAGCAAGAGTAATAACCGAAAATGGTGTCAATGGGTTTTTTATTGTTTTCGTTTCTTGCAATTTATTTCGCTTTATAACAATTCGGGTATTTTTTCATCATGCACGCTTATAAA